CGGGAGGGAGGGAGATTCCGCGGGGCGACGGACAGCGTCGTCGCTTAATACGGGGGGAGGGGGGGGGGGGAGGAGGGCGGGTGCGTTCCGCGAAGCGTGCAAAGCCCTCTCACGAGTCTTCTCGCCGGCGACCTTTCTTCGGTGAAAGTTTTATACCGAGAGCGAAAGAGATAAATCTCCGATGTTAGCGGATTAAATTCCCAGGCCGGCGCTGTTCCCGAAGTAAGTGGAATAAAATTTAATTGCGCGAAGCGAACGCGCGGTAACGCGTGTCCCGTTCTGCAAATAGTGATAATTACGCACGGTCCCGTAAGCACGCGATCGCAATCAGAAGTGAGATAACAGGAAAAACTGGTAGCTGAAATAAGCAAGCGGATTATCTCTGTTATGCTTGAATATTAATTAATAAGCTATTTAAAAACGTATCGGATTCTCATATTCTAATAAGCATATATTACGTAAACTATCAAGTTATCTGCGAATGCGTCTGATTCACAGATGTACGTACGAATTCAAGAATTGAATAAATTTTATGTTTACCACTCGATTACTCGACTATGAACAATTTATTGATTATTGGCGTTCGTCACATCTCGCGAATCTTTGATGACATTCCTTTTATTTCTGTCCTGTCTGCCAAAGTGCTGCATTTGTTATATTCCAATCGGAAATCTTCCTCTTATGCGTGTTCGCAAGATTATTATTAACGAGATTACATTAACGTAGAGATTAGGACGATTGATGGTCAATTTGACGTGAAATATATGGAAGAAACGTACGATCTATCGCGACGTCGTACAATCCTCCAAGCCGTCTCGACAAAGCGATCTCGAGAGAGTTTTAATTAGAGACCTACGCTAAGCTTTGAAGGCTGAACGGACGTTATGGGCGTAGAATGTGCGTCGGCATTCCGGATTGGACGCGGATCTAACAAGCCTCTCGCGAGTTACGAGTCCCGCAAATAGCGCGGAACAACAGCGCAGGCGATAATTGCGCGCGCGTTTAATTAATTAATCGCCGAGACTCGCGCCCGAACGAGAGCGCGAGTCGAGAACGAGACGCACTTGCGATTTCACGGAGCAAATCGGAGCGTCAATCGTTATTCGAATTTACAAAACTGTCGAGAACTGTTTCGGTCTCGGACTAATCTTGAAGAAGCGCGCGTCTCAAGAAGGATGCGTGTCTCTGAAAAAATTCTCTTTGAAAAAATGAATTTACTTTAACTTATTGTGCTCTCTTGTCGAAAGAAAATCGAAGAAAAATCACCAGTGAATTTAATAATTTCTGCCATGCGCGGATTTATATTCCTGTCCGTTGACATTCCCGCGTTTTAAATAGTGCGGAACAACGAGACACGTCAACACAAGTATTTCGTATGTCGTTGTATTACGTATGCAGGGTTTGGTGTGTATTGTTTTTCCCTCGTACGTTCGCTCAGTACTTTCACCACGT